CAGATATTATGGAGTTAGAACAGCCCTTCAAAAATCCACATTAAAAAAGAAGTCAGATCAGTGTAAAAACTGGTAGTAATTCCATCAATGGAGAAAACATTTTAAGGAATGAGAAACACTGTGTGTGTGTGAGACAGAAAGATTATTGGGGTTTTTTTTTAACCCATTTATTTTCTTTCAACATATCAGAGGCAAAATGATTAGTCCCATAAACAGAATTATTAAGTAAAAGGAACAAGAGAGAAAGACACTTCCCATAAAGTTGGATTTGCAAGGGTTTGTAACTTACTTTACAAAACAGAAATATACAATTAGTTAATTCATAACAAATTTCCCTTTGAATGCATTGAGAGCAGGATCAGATCCAGTTTTCTTGAATAAAATAGAAAAGGAAATCAATACATTCTTACATCAAATAACCACAATAGTTTGGTGTTAAATAACAATGAAAGGAGAGGGGAAAATAGCTCATAGATCATTTTGAATATATAGTTAAAAAGCAAAGTTTATATTCAGAGTAAGACATTTTAATCCTGGGATTATTGGATCATTTAGCAGTTAATAATTCACCCAAGGTTAGGAATAATTACTAGGAAATAACAAAGAACAAGGGAGATGGTATTTAAGTGACAGATTTCACCTACCTGATAAATCCTGGGAATAAGCTTTGGAAGAGTTTTAAGATCTCCCTGTTATTCCAAGGTTTTCTAAAATCCTCATCCATTCTCCTCTAGTTATCTTACATTTTCAGTGACTATTTCAGTTATGAGGCTGCAAAATTAATTCTTAATAAAACATTACAGAGACGAAGAGATGAATTCCAGTCTTTCCTTGCATATTTCTGCGAAAATGGTATTTCTTCTTTGTTGGACACTGAAGTGAAATGTGTCTCTCTTGATGCCTTCACCAAGATAGAAAGGGAAAGTAGCAAAGGAACAGGAATGCTGTGTGATTTCAGTCCCTATCACACCCACATTACAGTTTGGAGATAAGGATCCTCTCCCAAAGAAGCCCTCCTAGTGTGCCAGTGTTCGTGGCAGCAGACTCAGATTTCCAAGTGCCCAGTCTGGCTGAAGGCAATGAGAATTTTGAAGAGGCTCTGCTTCCTGCTCCTTGAGAACTGCTTCAATAACTATCATAATAATGGTTGTATTTTCTATCTCATCCTCCGAATGGAAACTTGCCTTTTAATTACTTCGGTTATAAACAACCTTTGTCCTGCTACTCTGGAGTTTCTGGTGAAGCCAGTAACTTTATTGCTGTAAGGTCTGAAGGTAAAAGCCCAACCCATCTCTGTTCTCAGATAAGAGTCTAACCAGGACCCAATAGTGTTAGTTGGTTCTCAGTTCTGATTGGCCAGCAAACACAGTGCTCTCCTGGTCTAAGTCATCACTGCAGGTTACTGAATCCCTGACTCACAACAGCCCATGTGCTTGCTGTTCCTTTACAAGTGGGCAGCACATTAATGGGGTCAGATGGAGACTTTTCACAGATGGGGGCTGTGGTACAGAGAAATGCAGTGACTTGCCTGAGGCATAGAGAAAGTTTGCCAGAACAGAGAATATAACCCGGGTCTCCAGTTACCACTGGATAATGCTTCTTCTGAAGTTATAACTCTGCTTTATGCAGTTCTAGCCCTTGTGCTTGATATAGTTTAATGAATTTCTGATGGGGAAGAGGTGATATTCAATGCACTGGAAACTTGCTGGGGCACATCTCAGCAGCACTGTGGAGCTGTGAAATCTGAGGATCTGCCCAGAACTGTCTTACAAGAGATAGATAGATAGATAGAACAGAGCACTTTAAAGTTAGGATCCTGTTACCACAGTCATTGAAGATAATGATCAGAGTCTCAGCAGGTGCAGAGTTCAGCTGAGGAAGTTATGGAGGCACTGCTGGCAATTTCCTTTGCAAGAACAAAAACTCCTGTCCCCCAGCCAGAACAAGGAGGAACCCTTCTGGGTGGTTGTGTGCTGGGCCAGGTCTCATGCTCAGAGTGAGGACAGGGGAGACTGAAGACTCCCACCCTCAGACTGTACCATTGTTCAGTGGCTGGAGCACCCACCTAGCAAATGCAAAACCCCTGTTCAAATCCTTTCTCCCCCCTCCCCCCCCCCAACCAAGAGGGGCAGGGGTGGCAGGTTAGTAGAAATTTTGGTGATGCCTAGAACCCGCCCCGCCCAAAATCTACCCCCCACCTGCCCAAGGCTCTGGGAGGGAGTTTGGGTGAGGGAGGAGGTCTGGGGTGCAAGCCCTAGGCTGGGGCAGGGGATTGGGGTGCAGGGTGCAGGCTCTGGGAGGGAGTTTGGGGATGGGAGGAGGTGTGGAGGAAGAGTTTGCAGGTCCAGGGAGGGAGTTTGTGAATGGGAGGGGTGCAGAGGGATGGGGTGCAGGGGTGAGGGCTATGGGGTGTGGCTGCAGATGTGGGGCGTTGGGATGTTAGAGAGGCTCGGGGCTGGGACAGAGGGTTGGAGTGCAGGGAGATGAGGGCTCTGGCTGGGACTGGGGATAAGGTGTTTGGGGTGCTGGAGGGGCTCAGGGCTTGGGCAGAGGGTGTGGTGGAGGGTAAAAGCTCTGACTGGGGGTGTGGGCTCTGGGGTGGGGCAGGGCTGGGGATGAGTTTGGGGTGCAGGCAGGCTGCCCTGGGGCTGGAGCCAGAAAGGAGAACTCCCCCCAGCCCTTTCCCTGCTGGCAGCAGCGAGCTCTGGGGGAGGAACCCCCCTTTCCTGCCCCACCCCCAGAAGCACACTCACCCCCACCACTGTCACTGCATGTGCTCCTAGGGCCCCTCTCAGGACCAGGAATCTCCCTCGCCTCCCCCGTGGTGGGTGTGGGGGGTGCTGCGTGTGCCTCCTCCCTTTCTGTTGCCCCTGACTGTAGCCTAGCTGGGGGTGAGGGGATGGGGCAGGAGCAGTGACTGCGGGCAGGGTGGGGCCCTGTGCTGGTGGAGGATCCCATTGGAAAAGGGAAGGGTCTGAGGTGGAAGGGCAGGCTCAGAGTCAGTCTGCCCTGGCAGGTGAGATGGGGGGCACTAGGACCCTGCAGCAACTGCAGGGAGGCAGCATGGAGTGGCACAGAAGAGACAGAGGCCTGGTCTACACTACGGGTTTAGGTCGACTTTAGCAGCGTTAAATCGAATTAAGCCTGGACACGTCCGCACAACGAAGCCCTTTCTTTCGACTTAAAGGGCCCTTTAAACCGGTTTCTTTACACCA